ACTGCAATAAAGAAGGCCAATGCTATGCTGGGGATTATTAGGAAGGGTATTGTAAACAGATCAGCCAATATCATAATGCCGCTATATAAATCAATGGTGCGACCTCATCTGGAATACTGTGTGCAATTCTGGTCACCACACCTTAAAAAGGATATTATAGCTTTGGAAAAAGTGCAGAAAAGGGCAACTCGAATGATAAAAGGGTTGGAACACTTTCCCTATGAGGAAAGGTTAAGGCGCTTAGGGCTCTTTAGCTTGGAGAAACGACGACTGAGGGGTGACATGATTGAGGTTTATAAGATTATGCATGGGAAAGAGCAGGTAGAGAAAGAGGTACTTTTCTCCCTTTCTCACAATACAAGAACCCGTGGGCACTCCATGAAATTGCTGAGCGGTCGGGTTAGAACGGATAAAAGGAAGTACTTCTTCACCCAAAGAGTGATTAACACTTGGAATTCACTGCCACAGGAAGTGGTGGCGGCTACAAGCATGGACGGCTTCAAAAGGGAATTAGATAAGCATATGGAGCAGAGGTCCATCAGTGGCTATTAGCCACAAGGTATAGATAGGGTTCTGGCCACTGTGGGATACAGAGTGTTGGACTGGATGGGCCGTTGGCCTGATCCAACATTGGCATCTCTTATGTTCTTGTGTTCTTATGTTAACTGATCTCCAGATTAGCAAGATCAGTTCCCCTGGAGAAAAGGGCCCCTTGAGCAGGTGAACTCTATGGCATTATACTTTGCTGAGATCCCTCCTCAGGCTCCACCTCCCAAATCTCCAGGTATTTCCCAACCCAGACCTGGCAAACCCATCCATAACTGCTTTTCACTGGTGGAACACCATCATGGAACTGATCCATGCCTAATCTAAAATTGGTCACATCAGCTCTTCAGCTAGTATAACAAAATCCTCAACTGAACCATGCACTAGCCCAACATGATCAGAGGGTGGCATTTCCTCTGACGTTTTCCATTTGTTTGTTTGCATAGTTTGTAGAGAAAGAAAAGAGAAAGAAAAAGGACAGCAAGGTAGAGCGCGAAAGGCAGATACAGGGAGAAAGACCCACAGAGGGAGAAAAAGAGGATGCACATAGACGTACAGATACTATATATAAAACTGGATCCTAAGAGTCCATTCTGTACCTGGATCCCCCCTTTCACCAAGTCTTCTTCCAATGGAGAAAGAGAGGAACACTTTCTCTACTGGAGGAAGCCTCTCTCTTTTTTAAATTAATATTGGAGAAAGACTCACAGTGGGAGAAAAAGAGGATGCACGTAGACGCACAGATACTATATATAAGGCTGGATCCTAAGAGTCCATTCTGTGCCTGGATTCTCCCTTTCACCAAGTCTTCTTCCAATGGAGAAAGAGAGGAACACTTTCTCTACTGGAGGAAGCCTCTCTCTTTTTTAAATTAATATTGGAGAAAGACTCACAGTGGGAGAAAAAGAGGATGCACGTAGACGCACAGATACTATATATAAGGCTGGATCCTAAGAGTCCATTCTGTGCCTGGATCCTCCCTTTCACCTTCTTCCAATGGAGAAAGAGAGGAACACTTAAAAAAATAATAATAATATTGGTCCCGGTCACACATGCCGGAAAACGTGTTTGGGGGAGGAAGTGAGCCTATTTGCGCTATAGTAATTCGACCCACCACTGTGTGATCAGATGTAGCAGCGGGTGAATCGGGGGGTTTTCTTCGCCACGTGTTTCCGGCGCGCTTCCTCGAAGGATCAGTGATGCAATTGGAGCGTGCTAGAGCGATCACAGGGGAAACTCTGTCTGCAGCCAGTTGCAACCCGTTTGATACTGCATTTTCCCAGGTATTTTTTAACTCCATGTCTTCGGCGGAGTAAGACGGGTTGCCGACAGGTGTGGGATGCTTGCCAGATGTTCCCGTGTGATCATCCCCTTACAATCCACCAGCGGTCGTACTTCTCGCGCAGCTACTTCTGCCTGTGATCCGGACCATTTTTTATTTTACAACATATAACATAAGATATATAATAATACAGTCATGTACAAACATTTTTGAAACAATAATATATACTTTAAAATAATTCAAAAGTAAATCATCTTTTGATATTGCAGGTTACTTGGAATAAGAGTAATTAGCACATGGCATTCACTGCCACAGGAAGTGGTGGCAGCTACAAGCATGGATGGCTTCAAAAGGGAATTAGATAAGCATATGGAGCAGAGGTCCATCAGTGGCTATTAGCCACAAGGTATAGATAGGGGCTCTGGGGCAAGCGATGCTCTGTCTTCTTGGTGCTTGGGGGGGGTCAACAGTGGGAGGACTTCTAATGTCCTGGCCCCACTGGTGGACCTCCTGATGGCACCTGGTATTTTTGGCCACTGTGTGACAGAGTGTTGGACTGGATGGGCCTTTGGCTTGATCCAACATTGGCGTCTCTCATGTTCTTATGTTCTCCTTCTCTAACAAAACACACACACACACACGTATAACAGGGTACCAAACGGCAACTATTTTTTTGTTATAGTTTTCTGGTGATGAGTCCGGTAAATTAAATAACAGTTTTTGCATTATAAAGTGTTCCTATGTACAGTTATACCATTGTGTAATTGTAGGAGGTTTCTTATCTACCCATTTGGAAGCTATATGTTCTCGTGCCATTGCAATTAAAATTGTTATTAATTCCCTGTTTTTACTTCCAACTGTAGTTTGTGGCCATTTCTCTAAAATAAATAATTCTGGAGTAGCAGGTTGGAGGAAGCCTCTTTATGTCAAAGACAAGCTCAGCAGAAGGGAGTAAATAAAATAGGTAAAAAGTGGTCTCTGTGATGCAAATTGCCCTGATCTGGATGCCCTGGGCTAGCCTGATTTCATCAGATCTCGGAAGCTAAGCCTGTCTAGTAATTGGATGGGAGACCACCAAGGAATGCCAGGGTCATCAAGGAATGC